AACAATGGTTCCTGGAATCCATTTGGCTCCTTTGCCAAAATTACGCACAAAAACTGCTTGGTTTGGTGTAAACTGGGGTTTGTTATCAAGGTTGTCTTGAAAAACCTTAACTTCCTATTTAGAACTTTTGGCTCTCAGTGCACTGAATCTAACTCTAGGCTGTCTGTTCATAAGAAATTCTGAGGGTGATTTCCCTAACGTGGTGGGTGTAGCCCTGTAAGTCAACAAAAACCTGTCCAATTTTGTTTGCACAGACTCGCCTGTATCTCCAATCTTGCCCAGTTTATCCTTAAATTCACCCACATAGCGCTCGGCTAACCCATTTGTAGCAGAATGTCCTGGAGCAGTGAGAGTATGAAGGATGTCGTTCTCCCTTAGAAATTTCTGGAATTCATCATTCGTAAACTGAGTCCCATTGTCCGTTACCAGATGTTCTGGTAAACCAAAGTAACTAAAAATGTGTCTCAAAGCAGTAATAGTGTTGGTGCTGGTGGCATGAGTCATGGGTACTATCTCCAAAAATTTGGAATAAGCATCCACCGTGACCAAAAACATCTTGCCAAGATAAGGCCCAGCAATAGTGACGTAAAACCGAATCAGAGCACAGAGCAGCCTTGATGTTATCAAAAGCGTCCTGTTCCAGTTTTGACCAACTCCATGGTACCCCCTTACGAAGAAGTAATCCGTACTAAGTTGAAGTCAACTTTGCAAAATCCGGCACAAACTTACGTAGAAAATTGGCTGATCCAAGGAATGACTGTAATTCAGAAACATTTGTTGGAGGTGCTGCATCCTTTATTGCCTGCACTTTCTCTGCAGTCGGTGAAATCCCCGCAGCAGAAATGGTAGTACCAAGATACTCTACTTTATCCAGCATCAAAAAGAATTTATCAGGGTTAAGCTTAAGACCGCAGTCCTGTAATCGAGTTAGTACTCAATGAAGGTTTTCCAGATGGACTTCATCTGATTCTCCGGAAATAAGGATGTCATCAATACGGACACAGCAGCCTGGAAGGTCCTTAAGGACATTTTCTATAGTGCATTGGAAGATTGACACAGCACTACTCACTCCAAAAGTCAGGCGCTTGTATTGGTATAAGCCCAAATGAGTGTTAATTGTCGTGTATTTCCTGCTTTCTGGCGTAAGCTCTAGTTGATGGTATGCTTGAGAAAGGTCAATCTTGGATAATTTTTTCCCCCAGATAATGTACTCAGTAGTTCCTCCAGAGTTCGTATGGGGTATTGTTCGAAGACTGAAAATTTGTTGATGGTGACAGAGTAGTCCCCACAAATTCTCAGGTCCCCATTTGCTTTAACAATAGGGACTGTAGGTGATGCCCACTCGGAATGCTCGACTTTCTCGATGATATCCTCTGCCACCAATTTCTCCAAGGCCTTTTCGTACTTAGACCGAATCGCAAATGGCACTACTTGTGCTTTGGTAAACACAGGGCTTTCATCACTTACTCGCAATGACACTTGGATTCCTTTAAATTTTCCCACTGAACTAGTGTCAAACAAATCAGAGTACTACTGAACTATATCCTCAGCTGCAGTTGAATTTGTACTAAAAATGTTCTGCCAAGGTAATGTAAACTTGGACATCATGTCCTGCCCAAGTAGTGATGGTCCCTGGACTACAGGAATTAACAGGGTACCCACCTGGTCTCCAACTTTGACATCCATTTCCTTCTCACTTAGACAATGGATAATGTCCCCAGTTTTGGTAAAATCAGCAGAACTCAACAATGTCACAGAACTGCCCGTATCAACTTCCATAGGGACTTCCTGGTCTTCAATGGTAACGGTAAGTTTGTATAAGGGCAGTGTAAATGACGAATTTTCAGAAGATTTCACACTTTTCATATAAACTGTACAAGAAGGGACTGAATTCTCGTGCTCCTCCTTGGTACATGTTCCTGATATTGGAGCAGCTATTACTTGGTGAGTGGTGTGGTTACCACCAAATTCTTTCTTTTTCTTGTAGCAGGCCTTAGCCAAATGCCCAGGCTTCCCCCAGTAATTACATGTAGATTCGACATGACTGCACTTGTCAGCCAAATGTTGTGGAGAGCCACACCGAAAACACTGCTTTCCTCCCATTTTTGACTTGGGATCTGTTTGCCTTTGGCTTTCTTGGGCAGAAAAAGATTTCTTGAGAACAGCATTTACAGGCAGAATTCCAGTACTGGAAGTGTCGGAGATGCCCTGGAGTAACTTAGATTCCTTCTCAGCCAGTTCATCAGCCTGAGCGACCTTGAGAGCTTGATCGAATGTCTTATCTCCTGAAAGTAGTTTCTTTTTAGTAGTCTAACTTCTCACTCCGCCAAAAAAATTGATCTCTGAGGGCTCGTGTAAGGTAAAGACCAAAATTGCAGTGAACAGCTAAGCGTCTTAGCTTGTTTGCATACTCCGCTACGCTTTCAGTTTCACTTTGTACAGTGTGATGGAAGCGGTAGGTCTCGGCAACTTCAAGTACCTTAGGTTTGTAGTAGTCTTTCGGAATTTGTGTAAGCTGATCGTAAGTTTTATCAGCAGGTAAATCAGGAAGGCAGAGATCTTTGAGCGTACTGTAAGCAGTTTTACCGATCAAGGAGATTGTAACGGCGACCTTTTTGTTGTCTGCCTCTCGTTTAGCTGCTTCGCTGGCGTCTGCTGCAACTTGACCGATGTTATGTGCGATGAAGTAGGTATTCAAGGGTTCACTGTAATCCGTAAAGTCAGCTCCATCAAACTGTTCCAAAGTGCCAAATTGCTAAATTGCTGTGTAGTCATCGCTAGCACCTTAAGTCTTTATCCTCGTCGCCAGTTTGTAATGTACCAGGAATTTGTAGTTTGTAATGTACCAGGAAATTTTATAACGAACACAGAGAACTCAACAATATTTTACTTCAAGTCTGTAAGCACATGGCAAGAAGAACCTACCGCGCATGTACGAAGTGCATTCGGATCCATGGGATATACAAACCTAAGGTACTTGAAGTTGCCGAGACCTACCGCTTCCATCACACTGTACAAAGTGAAACTGACCTTTATTTTAAACTCAAAAAATGCATACATATCATAACATTAGAAAGGCAGGATGCTGACAAAACTACAAAGTTGCACCGTACATTTAACAGCATACAAAACTGAAATCTTAGGGTGGGTGGGTCAGTAATGGCGGACGCAACAAAAGCAACTGCCTGCCCTTCAGTCACATGACCTACACCCAGGCTCCCAGCGGTGTGTGAGAAAAACATTTTCCACTTAATTTGTTACACTCAGCCATTGGAAAATTATCCTTCTCACACACCACTGGTAGCCATGCCAAGCCGACCGCCGCAACGCACAAAGCATAGAGCGGCAAAAAAAAAATACATTCTCAGGGTCCTAGAACTAGAAAACAACCATAGCATAACAGGACAGAGAATAAACCATCCGACTGAATTACAACGGAATGGAAAAAATGAGCTACGTATCATGCTCGACTTGTCTGGACACAGTTCATACTAAATGTTCACCCCAATACTGGATCGCTTTAAGTCTGATAAATTTGAACAAGGTGGAAATTAAGCCATAAATGCCTGATCAGTTCTCAAGCCTGAATTGTCTTAGTAACTGTTAACAGTGACTCCGTGGACTCCTGAATGTAATTGTTTTTAGACCTCTCACTACACCATCCCCCTTGCCTTTGGAATAGCCAATCAGGTACACCAAGGGCTGCTGCTGCTGATGCTCCTCAGGCTCTAAGACCGTAGACTCCATACAGCTTAGGATCCAACTCTTCCTTTTGAAGCTCACGCTTTATCAGCTCATTTGCTCGACTGTAAGACATGGGCTCCTTTCTGAGTTCCATCTTCTTCTCAGTATGCAGAATCCGGCGAAATAGCCTTGAATTCTTCACATGACTGCCAACTTTCAAAAATTTTTCAACTACAGCATGCCACAAAGACCCAAGATCCATCCCGGAACTTGTCCTTCTTCCGTTGAACCGGGAAAATAGTAAGATGTGTATCCACAAACTGAAGATTGTCGACAGTCAGTCTACTAAAATCATCCCAGTGCAGGAATCCAAGAATCCCAATGCAAACAATGAAGGGACTTAAATATCAACTAAATTAGCATGTTCAAGCCTACTGATAACTCTCTGAACCAGACTGACATCCAAAGCCTTTTTGCGATTAGGTGGTTTCGCTAAAATTCTTCGACCGGCTTCAGCTACTTGCCGAATTAAAGGGTGCTCGTTCAGTTCCTGGTAGCCACTCTTCTTGTGGACCCAGCTTGCTCCATATATAGCACTGTTAAGCAGTGAGACTGAACTTCCCTGTTGGATGAGATGCACCAAATACAGGGCAAAGACACCAGGATCAGCAGGATCAGCTGGTAAGGCAGTTGCACTACACTTCACAGCCTACTTCTTCCACGTTTGATATGCCCGAACATACAAACTGACTGTCTTAGGTGCTCTATCCTAGACAAAACACGTGGCAGAGATTTGGCAAGCTGTGTAAGTGTGGGATGGTTCACTTCCCTCTGTACAGACTCAGGCACTGCAATTAAATAAAGTGACTTCCTCAGCAAACAATAAAATATTGTGCTGGCAAATGACAGGAGAAAACAACAAACAGTATTTCCAAAATATTTCTACCACAAGGTACCGCATAGCCAAAGTAGTAAGGGAAATGGGTATCTCAGCGCAAAACGTCCGGGATTTGAACGCAAATCCAAAACCTCCAAAAATTCCAGATTATGCAAAAGATTACAAAAGTGAATTTCTTTTCATAAGAGGGATTGATAGGTGTTTTGGAAGAATACTAAAAGAAGAACGACTTTTTACAAGAGATTTATTTGAAAATAAATGTCCAATTACAAAAAATATATAAGAAATTTTAAGAGATTGGTTGATATTAATAATCTTTCAAAAATAAACCCAGAAGATGTTATTTTTAATACTCTTCGTCTAAACGAAAAGTTAGTTGAGTTAAAAAGGAATTTTATCATGAATAATAGAGAAGTGATGCAAGAATATGGTATAGTTTTTATTGGTTTAGACGATGCTTATCCAGGTTTGGATGATATGAAAAAAATTGTTTTAGAGTTTATAAATATATTTAAAGATGATACAGAGATTGTTCTTGATAGTGATAGTGAGACTGAGAGTGAAGATAATAAATTTGTTAATTATGTTTATATTGATAGTGATAGTGAGACTGAGAGTGAAGATAATTATATTGATATTGGTACTGATACTGATACTGATACTGATACTGATACTGATACTGATAGTAATAGTGATAGTGATAGTGAAAATAAGATTAAAACCGAGAGTGTTAGTGATTAGTATAAGTACTAATAAAATGGATTATAATATATCACCTGTTTATGCTAAAGACTAGAAAAACGAATTTTTTTTAATAAAGGTATTCATTCTCGTTCCCAGAGCTTTGATCCTTTTGGTCAGCGGCAGGGATTGAGAGCTCTGGCTGGTTCCAATTTGCAGTCTGCAAATTGCGGACTTCCGGTTCGACTGCGCAGCCGCAAACGAGAAAGCCCAAAGCAATAATGGCTAACCAAGCTAAGGTAGATTTGTTTCACAGCGCGTTGAATTTTGGCTTACAGTTTTTAGGTCTCGGCCACCTACAGTTAAAGGAAAAACAGTACGAGGTTTTAAAACATGTAGTTCTTAACAACAGAGATGTTTTGGCAGTTCTGCCTACTGGATATGGCAAATCGTTGATTTACCAGATGCTACCACCCGTACTTAATTTCGTGGATTTTGGTGCAGGAAAAATAGGCGACAGTGATTGTTATTTCTCCGCTAAACGCCTTAATTCGCGACCAAATTGTCAAGATGAGAGAAAGTGGATTGAGTGTTTGCATACTCATAGGAGATCGCGTGGATACAGAAGACGGTGGTGACGAGGATATTTCACTTGAAGTGCCTGTTGAGATGCTGACAAGTGCACATTTCGATCTGATATTTACTCACCCCGAGGGGTTGGTCGACAAAAACAAAGTATCCAAATCACTGAAGACGACTTTATTTAAGGAAAAAATAAATAACACTGATCCTTCTGCTGATGACCTGCGTAATAACATCATTACAGAGGCCATTGTTTCATCGTTAACAACCTTAGACAACAAATTCAGTCTACCTTGTGCAGTTGATTACGCGACACAGAAAGGAAAAACTGGGGAGGCGATGGCAAATGAATTTGAAACTCACCTTAAAACAGTTCAGACATGTGAAGCATGCCAAAGGCGCACACCAGGCCAGCGGAATATTTTGAAATTAGAGAACATCAGATGTGAAAGCTTTTGTAACGTTTGCTATGAGAAAAAAGATGTCTGGAAAGAATGTCTGGAAAAAGGTCATATCAGCTATGTACCATCCTTAAGGTGTTGGGGTCATTGCCTTGATAATGGCCTCATTTGTACTACTTTCGATTCTGCCTGACTGCCCCCATGTAGGCAAAAGCCTGAAGGGATCATTTTCAAACTGGTGGCTAAAATATGGGGATGAACGATCTAACCTCGCCCAGCTGAGAACCTTGCAAAACAGATCAGACAACACCACTAAAGAAAAGTTTCGAAAATTGCTTCCGAAGAATGACCATGTCAAGAACAAGGATAGACAAGACCCTTCTGCTGTTCTTGAACTAACCAAGCAAAGCGTGATTGACGAACTGAGCCAAACTCGGTACGTCTGTCAAACCATTATACCAGAACTGGACGAGTTTACGCAGGGAAATCGCATGGGGATAAGTCCATCACCTATAAGTACTGCTGTTGCAAATTATGGTTGGATTCTTTTTCTGGCATTTGATGCGAAGTCAAATACATCAACACTGTACAAGGCTCGATTGCACAGTCCTGTTGATAAACTAATCTCTCTTAAAAAAGGCACCAGGGCTAAAGAGGTTCATTATGTGCAAGGTATCGCATTCCTTGCCTGTGAAAGAGGCCCACTAAAGGCAATAGAAGTTTTGCTCGATGCTATCACCATATCCTTGAAGGGAAAGAGGAAAGCTGATCTCAAAGAGTTTGCTAATCAACTGAAATTAAGCTCTCTAGGAACGGTGAGAAGGATAAAGAGTCGTATACAAGGCCACCTCAAGAGAATGGAGCTAAAGTATGACAGTCTTTTGGCGAGTAAAGAAGACATAGTTTTCCCCAAGATCGATAACCAACCATCGGTTGAAGCGATGGTGTGCGTAGACAACAAACTTTTGTATGCAACCAACAACTCTGTTGGAGATCAACGCGAAGTTGTGCGGTTAATCTTGCAAAGTGATGGTGTTAGGCTCGAGTGTAACGAAGAGCATGCTATTGTATCGTGTGATAAAGAGTGGGGGAAGGTACATAGTATGTGTATCAGTGGGAACAGCCTTTTCTTGTCTAACCAACGTGGAATAAGTAGGATAGATTTGACAACAAGACAGCATTCCCTCATTCTTGATGCTCCAAACGATCCCTGCAAATTAACTAAATTTGGACCTGATCTGCTCTTAACCAATCAGAAAAGTTGTTCAGTTTGGAAGTTGCGATCAACTGGAGAAGCAGATGTGTTTGCTGGTAAAGAAGAAGGCTCCTTAGATTGACCAGTGACAACATCTTGTTTTAAGCAACCAATGGGAATCGCCACCGAGTTTGACAGTGTGGTGTATGTGTGTGATGCGCAAACAAACAGCATCAAACTACTGAGCAAAATAAACCATTGTGCAAAGTTCCTTAGGGCAATTGGCGCAATCTACGAAGCTTTCTCTGTCCATAACAAGGGTGGTTCGTATGAAAAGAAGACAACCGAAGAAGCCATTGGTTTGGTTCGCCATTGCAAAACTGTACTTGAAGAGCATGCATATCAAATACGTGCTGAGAGTAACATCACTGGCGCCCTAAATGGTCCCCAAGGTCATGTCTCTGCAAAAACAGTAAACTCTGTCAAATTAATGGAATGGGGACTAGGAAGACTAACAGACATTCTAGGAGAGTATGACTACAAGGCTCTTGATCTTTTAAGCTGTATGACTTTAGACGTTGAAAATTGCCATGCCACTGTTCATTCCAAGAAAGTGAACATGTCTAAGCTCGAATATGCTAGGTCGTTTGGTGCAACAATGAAGGAGGGCGTCAAACGTGCTACAAGCTGGGCTGCGTACTATCACACCAGTCGAAGGTCCTGGAACCCAAAGCCTGACACAACAGTGTCTCTTCATAACGTACCGTTGATGATGCCTCTGTCTGTTGTCAGCCTTCATGCAAATGACTGTGACCTCTTACGCAACTGGGCCTCAGCATATGGTGCTGCAGTAAGACAAAGGACAGTGCGGCAGAAAACTACAATGGCTAAGCACGGAACATTGCCAGAGTATCTTTATCAACACCATCTCGAAGTTGGTGATAAGGTTAATATGAACTTCAGAGTTGATGAAGATGAAGGACCCCATGGAGATCTGAACGAGCGTGAAGTGAGTGAGGAAGCTAGTGTCTCTAGCAAAGGCCAGCAAGAATTTGATGAAAGTAGTGACGAAGAAGTTGAAGTCAGTGCAGATGACAACAATTCTCAGACAACAATTCTCAGGGCCAGCAACATGAATTAGGGGCGTCGACGAATTTTCTCTTTGGTGCGAGGTCACGATATGGAAGGGCAGTGAGGTTCAATAATCGAGTGCTGTTTTGAGTAACTGTTTATTACCACATTAAACCTTAGAGCAAGTTCCTGCTGCCATGTAAAACTGAAAAGGAACTAGTTGTACCGGTTAGCTTCCTCAGTGTCGACTCAGCTCAGTGCAATCGCATGTTAGACAATCGAGTCTCCAAACTTTCAGGTGTTAGTTATCAAATGGAAATGTTCGATTAGAGATTTTCGATTGAAGTTTCCAGAGCTATAGCTTTTTGCGACTGCAAAATTGCAATTCTAAAGAGGACTTGTGTGCAAATTCTCCTAAGTTAACTAGGCTCCATAACTAGCGGCTTTTTCGGAAATTGAGCCGCAAAGTCTGGGCTTGAGAGAGCAGCAGAAACAAAGCCTATGATTTAAGCAGACACAAAAAGATACGAAGGCTTCAGACAAAAGTCCATGACATTCACAAATACTTTGGTGAAATTAGTGTTAGTTTAGTTTGCTCTATATGCTTCGCTTATCACCATTGTATCGGTTTTTGACGGTTTTGTATGCGGTTTTCGGTTTTGGCTGAATTTTTTTGCGGTTTTGAGGTTTTGGATGATTTTTTCCTTTGGTTTTGCAGTTTCTAATATACCCCAATGCCCCCCTCTGTAAACAGTAGTGTAATTATTCAGTTAAACCTGTAATTCAAGCTTAAAAATATCTTTTTACCCGCACTGTTTGTCAATTAACTTTGTACTCTAACCATAATTATTAATTATAAGAGTAAGGCGAGAAAGGGAAATGAAAATTCACTTCGACACAATATAATTATTTTTTCACCTGGTATTAAAATTTAACTCCAGCAAAGAGATCATGACTAGAAAGGCATTAAATCTGTTCACAAGTGTTTTATTTAGCAATGTACATTCTTACAGTACATTCATATCATAATCTACATATGGCGAAAGTAATTTTCTTACAGTGCGAAATAAATATAAGATTCTACCCTAGAACAGCTTTGCCTTTCAAAATCGCCATCAGCTAATAGAAGCTATATTTTGCAAGCTCAACAATTGTTCTGACCCGCAGTTCTAGGTGATATTGTTCTGTTCCAAATAACAGCAACGAAGCGGCTCTAAAGCAACAGTTACCATCTCCAACAGTTTCAACAGCAACAAACTCCGATACATGTTCAGTTGGAATGAGGTTATAGGAGGAGAAATCAGTTGTCAAAGGACTATAAATGATAGCGGAGCTCCCGCGCGCAGCGCGCGAAGCGGAGCACCATGGGTAACAAAATTTGGTAACTATCCATCCGAGAAAATTAGGTTATGACGTAGCGTACGCCCACCCCCCACCCGTACACACACCTCATGTAAGCTGATGTCAAATGTCACAACAGATCTTGCACAACTTGACTAGCCTTTCAGTTTTGTTAGCCATCCGTATGAGTACGATTAGATTGACAGCTGTCAAAATCAGACATCCGCTGACAATTATCACATGACCATCTTGCGGGCTCACATCAAAGACCAGTCGTTTTGCCCCTACATGTAAGCTGATATAATATGTCACACTTACCAATTCAACATAAAAACGAAACTACCCCGGGCAGGGCTGTCAGTCGGCTGACAGTTGTTTAAAGTTATATTGGCAAGCTAAATTAAGGTCAGTTGACAGCTGTCAAAATGGGATATGTGCAGACCACTATCAGAAAACTAATAACGTGGGCTCAGGTTCGCTCAGGTACACGATCTGGCATTTTCCACTACAAGCCGGACGGATATGTCTTACTCACACTCGTAGTCTGTTAATTCGAATATTTGCCATTCTAATGAAGGTTAATTGACAGCTGTCAAACTAGAGATACGCTGACCATCATCACCTGACTATCGCGGGCTCATTTTTCTATCCATTGAGGTCACCCATAGCTTAGAAAATTTATCCATCCGAGAAAATTCGCAATCACGTGACCGTACATCAACCACCAGACCTTCCATCTGTCCGCACCACAGGCATACCAATGTTTCATCTCACACTTTCTAGCTAGTTTGGGAGCCTGCAACCTGATATTGTACATCCATGTTTTGATAAATTGACAGCTGTCAAAATAGTGTTTCTGCTGACCAGTATCGCCTGACCATATCGCGGGCTCAGGTATCGACCCACTGAGTTCGAGTGTTTTTTGAAGTTATTCGCTGACAAGTTGCTACTTTTCAAATGATCGCAGGCTCAAGTTCAATTTTTTTTAAAATGCAGGTATGAAATAAGTCGTGTTCATGAGTCGCACTTTTAAAATTTTGATTTCGAACTGACCTCAGACGCGAAAATTCAACCGGCCTTTACATGCAGGGAAGGCAATCGTTTTTGACTTTTCTCACTGTCACGTGTTGATCATGCTCTACGTCTAATTTTTATTTTCTGATTGGTCAAAATTTGACAGGTGAGTTCATGTGGAAAATTTATGCAGCATCTGGAAACTTGCTTACTGATAGCTGAAGCTGACAGAGTTGTGTGTCAAGTCTTTTTCCACTTGCTGTACAAAATGAAATACAGCTGCTATCAAGATTGTTCTGTAATTCATGGCTGGTTTGTTTATTGTGCTTTTTGTTGACAAATGCACCGCTTGTCAAAGTCATTGGAAATCCAATTTCGGATGGCATCGTTTTCAAAAATGAGCTTACTCACTTGCCCTTGCTTGAGACGTAAGAGGGTTGAAAAGTCTCAAGCGATTCTGGAACAGTTGATGACCTACAGAAGCAGTCTCTCGACTTATAAGCCTGAACAATTTTTGTCTTTGATGTGTTTTTTTTTCGGTTTCCTGAAGTGGAGCGTATTGTTTATGCGGCTTAAGTTTATACACGAGCACTAACCTACAATAGTATCAGGTTTAAAAAGGCTTAAGACATTTTTTTGACCGCAGATTCAAAGAAAAGGTTCAAAAGAATATTTAGTTATGTTTTTGGCTGTAAACAGAAAGCTCTGAATGATTTTCTAGCCTCGAGTTCATCTTGAAAAAGAGCAAACACCGGGAAGCCAGCTTAAAACATAAATAAGCTTATGCTTACCTGACTCATGATTTTCAGAGACACTTTACCTTCAATACTTGTCTTCGTGAATAAAAATTATTGTCTCTGTACATGTTTCACTGAATTATATTTATTTTATTGATTGTTAGTAGTCCCTCTTGCAATTTTTATCGCTGCACTGGTTGTTTCGAGGCGAACATAAACATCGCATGCAGGAATACTCAAAACGCCGCGTGTAAATTATCACTCGCTTTTAAAGATTACACATAACAAAACCATGAACAGTTTTATAAATAAAGGGAACAAAACCTGAACATAACAAATTCTCTATCATGTTGAAGCGTAAATGGTTACTCTTTTAATCGCACCGCAAATTTGGTGCCTGTCAAAAGTGAGAACTCGTCCGGCTGGCCAAAAAAGGTGATTTTGGGAATTTTTTTATCGTTTTCACTAAAAGCCCATAATTATTACCCTGCATATCACATAGGACCAGATTTTTCTAACTGAAAAGTCCCGGCAATATGGAATTCTGTTCATGAAAATGTTTTATAATGTGGTCAATGCTAAAATTTGCTGTGCAAAGGAAGGGCGTGCTTTCATCAAAGGTAACCCAGGCTCACTGTTAGTGTCACGTTCAGATTTCATAACATGCTTAAATATAGAGAACACATGGGGCGAAGTTTAGGTCTGGAAATTTGCTAGAAAATGGAAATAAAAATCGATGAAACTTACCATGTGGCAAGTTGTTGTTGTCCTTAATGTGTACACGAAGTTTCGGGAAAAATAGTCTGCTTCACCGTTCCTTCATAGTATTATATTTTGGGGTTGTCCAGTTATTAGTCTCTCAAACGGAGCAATGCTGGAGAGACTGGTGAATGCCACATTATGATGCAACAGTTAATGCAAATACAATACACTTTCCAGGCCTAATCTACTGTGATCGAACATGATTGCTATTTTTGGGTGTACAATTAAGACTATTAGCTCGATGTAAAATTTGTTTCACTCATGGACTGTCAAATTATTTTTCTCTAAAATCACTTAGCCTTTGCCTCAAAAGTCAAATGAATGTGCCCTGATCTGCGGATTACAAGTTTATTTTGTTTGATTTAAATTATGAATTTATTAACGGGAGCTTCGCTTTTAGCCCTGGCTAAATCTATATATTATGCTGTTAGCTTTTCAAAGTCGGCAAAATTCGATATACTATGTCGCAAGCATCGACAAAGGTTTTAAAACCATAACTACCTACTGTTTGCAGCATCTGAAACAGCTCAACAAAGTCCGCCATTTTGAAGAAGCAACACACGCATGTGCATTCTGTTTTTGTCTAGGCGTTCCCTGCCCGTTCGTCTCGGACACGTCACTGAAACGAACTGACCAAGAGGGGCTGGGAAAATGCTGTACAGGGACTAGGCAATTAGTGGGTGACAATTTTCCACGGGCGTAGAGGGAGGGTGAGTTTTCGTTACTCAATTAATTAGTCAGCGGTAGTATGGCAAAATAAAGAGGGACTTCTGGTTAAATGATTGAGCTTCCTGTCGGGACGCTGACCTTATTCATGGCCCTTTTTCGCAATCTGGCGGAAAACCAGACGGGCGAGATCAAGGTTTTCAAGCGACAATTATGAAGTCTTCCGTGGACGAAGTAAGGGAAAAAGAGATTGCATTTCTTCAAGGCAATTTTGACAATGTTCGCTTTTTGGAGAATTACTGTTTTGCAGTCCACAAAGGAGACACAGAAAGTCTAACTGATTTGATTGACAGATATCTTTCTTTGAATTCGACGTAAAGATAAGTCTCTTTATGATTTTCATATCCTTCGTAAACTGTCTCCATACCAAATTATTGTGGTTACTTGCTTGAAGTGGCTCCTTGATGGTCCTTTAATTTGCACATACAGCTCAGCCCATTTTTGAACACAACAGAGGAAATATCCCCATTACTTTCTTTGGAGTCCCCTT